CAGAGACAGAAGAATCGCTCATGCGCGGGACATAAAGAAACAGGATGAGGGGATAAGCCAGTCCCAAAGACAGTAACAGCCAGGGGCATGAGAGCCGGTCTTCAGTAGGAAGCTCGACACTGGCAGCAGGGAGACGGGTCAGGGAAGGGACAGCTACGACAGTGGTGGAAGGAAGGTCACTCTGGAGGAGGTAACAGGGTTCGGGTGGGGCAGAGGGAGGACAACCGGTGGAGGGAAGCGGACACTGGCGAAGGTGTTTGGTGTCGAAATATTGTATGCTGGGAACGCTGTCTCCGATAACTTGGTAGTATGTGGTGAGTCCACTTTTTTTCTGAAAAAGGGTCTTTCCCATGTGTGCAATATAAAGAAACATAGTAAGGGAACAGCAAATGGCCCTGAGTGTCGGAACTGGAGGTTTTTGTTTCTAGAACTGAGCTTCTGCGAGTGGAGGGGTGGGGCCAGGGCTAGACTGGAGGAGGGAAGCAGGCGCTCGGAGGGTGCGGTGCTAGAAGGAAGTTTGTGTGAAGAGTGTAATCGATGGCATCGTAAACCTTGCTACCTGAAAAATGGTAAAAAATGCTTTAGAAAAAGAAAAAATCAGTTCTAGATAAGGAAAAAGGCAAAACAGTATCAGCAATAAGTTGCTGAAATCAAAAGATTGAAACATGAACTGGTGTTCAGTTGGAAACTTATGGGGGATGAAAGGGAATAGGGTGGGGGGACTCTGGGGCCGGGTGGGGTGGGGGGCGCAGGTAGGAGAGAGGGGCAGCACGCCCTGGTGGGGGCGAGTGGTGCTGAAGTGCCTTACGCGTGAAGCCCTTCCCTTTAACAGCATTGTGAACCAAAGGACCTAACTTGGATTTTTTAAAAAATAGGTATGCAAGGTTAAAAGATCTGGGTTTTTCTTTTTTCCCTGTTTAAGTGAGAATGTCACAAGATGCTCCTCTAAACCTTTTCTAGGAATTGAGTGCTAGGTTTTGCTCATTGTTTTTGAAATTCATGCCTTTGAATTTTTTTCTCTTGATAGAGCTTGTTAGAAAGTGTATGATTGTTGTGTATAACTCATTAGACTTTTTAATAGGCTGTGCTAGGCACCGGGTGAGCATTCTGTCTCCGGTGGTCCGATTCTCCCAGTGCTGCCCAGGTGTGCAGTGCTGGTCCCGGGAATGCTGCTTTGATCCTAGCTCAGCAGCAGCTTTGAGTACAGTTGCGAGGACTTTAAAGTGGTAGGATTGGGGGACACAGCACAGCAGGTCAGGCCTTGCACACAGCTGACCCAGGTTTGACCACAGAAACCCATGTGGCCTCTCTAGCCCACCAGAACTAATTCCTAAGACAGGCCCGTAGGAAATTCTGAGCACTGCTGTTGGTGCAGCCCCCTCCCCACCCTAAAAGGGGTATAATTAAGGGAAGTGGTGAGTTTTTATTTTTCTGAAAATGGGGCATTAGGCCAAATAAGTTTGGAACTCTGGTAGACCAGTGTAATGTAAGATCACATTACAGATAAATTATGGCTTATTAAAGTGATTTGCCCGGAGTTACACTATGTATAATCAGCAGGGTTGAAATTTGATTCCCTGCATATAACTGTAAAGATGTTCTCGTAGTCTTTTTTTCTTTATTCCTTTTTAGCATGCTATGTGGTTAGTTGAGAATATATTTGACTTTGTAAAATCCAAGTATGTACCAAAAACATTATTTTTTAGCACTGTAGCACTGTCCTGCCGTTGTTCATCGATTTGCTCTAGCAGGCACCAGTAACGTCTCACAACAAATTGTGAGACTTGTTGTTACTGTTTTGGGCGTATCGAATACGTCACGGGCAGCTAGCCAGGCTTTGCCGTGCAGACGAGATACTCTCGGTAGCTCGCCGGGCTCTCCGAGAGGGGTGAAGGAATTGAACCTGGATTGGTGATGTCGGCTGCGTGCAAGACAGACAAACGCCTTACCCGCTGTGCTATCGCTTGAGCCCTATTATTTTTAATATAAAAATATTAAAAGAAATCCTGCTAAGTTCTGGAGGGCAGGGAAATAGTACAGAGGTTAAGTGTATGCCCCGCATGTGGCTTATTACACTGAACCTGCGTGGCACTGTGGCATGCAGACCCTCCCACTGAATTACTGTCCTGTGTGGCATCCCTTGCCTCCAGAACATCATGAGGGGCCCTCCCTGGTCCCCTTAAAAAGAAGTTTCACGAGACCGTACCAAAAAAGTTTGTTATCATAATGCAACGAAGAGAGAAAAGATGGCAAAATATTTTTTTCAAGTCTCGTCCATTTGCAATATAAATGCTCTCCGGTATAAAGAACTTTAGGGTAGAAGGAAAGAAAGCACAAAAGATGAAATCGTGCAGTTTGCCACTGTTGGATGGAACCAGAAGCTTCCTGCTGAGCAAAGTCGGAGGGTGGGAGAGGAACAGACCCAAGATGCTCTCTCTCCTGTGGGGGCGCCTCACAGTAGGGGCCTTGCAGGGGGCTTCCCCCGGGTCCAGTATTGGTGCGTGGCCACCAGGGCTTCACTCAGTGTCTGCCGTGGCAGGCACACACTCAGCCTGCTGAGCTCCCTGCCTAGCCCCAAAGGAATTCTTTTTTAAGAGAGAGAGAGAGAGAGAGAGAGAAAGAGAGAGAGCGCAACTCTTGCACCTATTTCTCTTGGTTGTTGCGGCTTTGGAGAGTGGGGGAGTAGACCTTGCTGTGACTCAGGGTGTTCCCCCCTTTGTTGGGGTGTGGGGATGGTCCTGGGGGGTCCTGTGCCGTGATTGCACATTAGGCAACAGTCTTACCCCCAGACACTGCTCATGCCCTGCCCTGAGAGTTCTGTGCGCATCGTGGAAATGTTGTGTTGGTGAATCGTGCTGGGTACTTGTTATACTTCTTTTTCTGAACTAGAAATTATCTCTACAGCTTAAGCAATTGGTTCATTTTTCCCTTTAATACTCTTATTACAACACATAGTGCTTATAAACGTGACTTCTCTGACCTTAGTGTGTAAGCAAATCCTATTTTGACTTTCAAAGTCCTGTTGTTTCTACATTTGTAAACAAATTAAAATTTGGAATGCCTGCCAAGAATTATCCCTGAGTGCAAGAGCCAGGAATAAGCCCTGAGCACCCAGGAGTAAGCCATGTGCACTGCTGGGTGTGGCCCGAAAAGAAAACAAAAATTTAGAACGGATATACAAATAGTTTACGTTTCTAAGGACAGCTGAAATGTTGATCTGTAACTAAGCCCTTTACTCCAGTATCCAGTAAACCAAATAGTGCCTCTCTTCCTGTTGAGGACTGATGGAGTTAACAAAGGGGCTGAAATTCTACATTCTATATGGGCTTTGTAGTCCCTTCTATTAGATGTTTTTCAGAATTCAAATTTCCTGTTTTGTTTTGTGGTACCAGGGATCCAGAATCTCACACGTGAAGTATAAGCTCCACCACTGAGCCGTATATCCTCAGGACCTCCAGACCATTTTTCCTAAAAAGGCAATATAATGGAGGTGTTTATTATATAGTATCTCTGGCAGGTCTGAAATAGCAGACCTGCTTTTCACCTCCTGTGATGAGAAGAAGATAGTTTGTGTCAAAGGAGTTTGCTGTTCTCCCTCCAAATGCTGTATTTTCAAACATTCATGTATTCTGCAGAGTCATGGGCCCGAAAGATGCAAGCTGCTTGGAGGTCTTGCCCGCACTTACCTTAGACGCGTATTCTAGCTCAGACCGGGTGCCAGGACGAGATACCTCCCACTTGCAGCTGAGTATCAGGGGAGGTCCTGCTCACTGCTTGGGTCGGCGTCAGAAAGTTCAAGGAGGGAAAGACAAGAATCTCAACAAACTCGTGTGTAGCCTGACCTGAGTTTGCTCTGTTACCCTTTCCACTGTTATCAGTCAGCCTTACCCACTCTGTTCATTAACCAGTCTGACTCTAGAGCAGCCACTCGATTTAAAGGGTCGGAGTGAGAGCAGACGTTCAGCCACTACCGCCATTCACTCCCAGTACTAACATTCATTGTCACTCTGACACTCCGTGTTTGGAAGTGATCTGTGTTCTTCCATTCCTGTGACTAAATTATTCTCTTTTAATCTCACACCAATTTTAGGCATCGTTAAGTGTTGATTTCACTATAGTTGTAGATAAAAATCTTGTTTCAGAACTAAGGACTGATTAAAATATTTAAGGCTATATATATTTAAGGCTATAGCTCGAGAAATGAGAATTCTCGTTCATTGCATGCTGAAATATTTAAGGGAGAAATGTGATTCTGCATAATTCACTTCTAGTGTTTCTGCAAAAAACTGAAAGAGAGTGAAGTTAGCAGAATACTAACAATTCTTGAATGCGAAGGCAATTTAGTGACAGTTGTCAGTGAATCACTAAAATTTAAAACCAGAATCAAAATGGGGGCCAAGGAGATATCACAGCAAGTGAGGTGCTCGCGTTGCACATGCCGATCCATTTCAAGCCCTGGCACCCACATGGCCCAAAATACGAGGATTTACGTCTGTAAGCCCTGAGCGCTGTGAGGTGTGTTCCAAAAACAAAATAGAAAAAAGTTGCCGTGAAAGATCTTTGAATGTATTTGTATTTATGCAGTCTTGTCAGAATTGTAGAATTCATTTGCAATAAAACTGTTGTGATGTTAGATGCCTTAACTAGCTTTCCATGTACTTTGTGTTAAAATGCTTTAAAACTTATTACTATGAATTTTGACACCTAATTGAATAGATTTGGATTCTGCTTGGAAAATAAGCAATTAGTCCTGCTTCTGTATCTAATTCTTTATCTGTACTTTAGTTTACAGCTGAAAATTTTTATTTTTGTGTGATTTTTAGCAATGTATAGTTTGTTATATTATCATACTAGTTAAATAAGATTTTTCTTGATAAGTCCCAAGAAATCCGTGGTAAATGCAGATTGAGATTAAGAGTTGTCAACTAATTAACTTGTAATAAAATATGTTATTTTTCATTTCTCTTTTTTAATGCTCAGTATGTTTATTTCTTCCCTAGATCTTCCTCAGAACTGTGATCCTAACATTCCCTTAGTTGCTCAGGAATTAATGAAAAAGATGATACGTCAGTTTGCAATTGAGTATATTTCAAAAAGTGGTAAAATTCAAGAGAATAGAAATGGTTCAATTGGACCAAGTCTAATATGTAAAAGTATCCAAATGAATCAAGCAGAAAACTCTCTTCAGGAAGAGCAGGAAGGCCCCTTAGACCTCACTGTGAATCGAATGCAAGAACAAAGTACTCAGCAAGGTAAGAGTTTTTAGTGTACAATACACAATTTTGTCTTAAAATCCTAATCTTATAAAATTATCTGACTTGTAATTAACTGTATAATATGAACTGCAGAGAAGTGCTCAGTTAGGGCTTTTGTACTGCCTTTGACTTGGATTTCAAAAATGAAATTTGACTTGCTCTCAGTCTCTTTTCCACAGTAAAGTGTATGGTAAGAGAATTCTAGTAACAAGCATATAACTAGAGAGATGTTTATGGTGAAAAAATTATTTTGAAATGTTCATCTGAGGACATTAAGCACATGCTGTTTATTGTTTTAAATATGTAAAAATATGGCATACTAGGGAAAGAAAAGTCTGATACATGAGGGGAAAAAGAAAATTATGTAATTAGCTCTAGAAAAAAGAAAGTTTTTGAGGGTGAAGGCACTGCACACAAGGATCACTCCTGGTAGGGTTTAGGGGACCATATGGGATGTGAGAAATCAAAACCTGGTCTGCTGTGTGCAAGGCAAGTGCCTTACCCACTCTGCTACTGCTCTGTCTCCCGTAGGAAAAAGCATTTTTCTTAAGAAACCTGAGAGATTAAAAAAAAATTGTTAGACTTCTGTAATAATTAATAAAAAGGGAGCCATGACTTCACAGAGGAAAGAGAAAGGGTTTTTTATGTGCTTGTGGAGCATGCCAGATAATTTACCTGGAGAAGAGAGAACAAGTGGCCTTTTATTTTTTTTTTAATTTTTTATTAGTGAATCACTATGAGGTACAATTACAAACTTGCAAACTTTCGTGTTTGCATTATAGTCATACAATGATACAAGTAGCCTTTTAAATAACTTAGGGGTAATGCTGTCAGTCTTTGATGCTAGAGAAATGTTAGTGTTAAGTTTGATCACAAAGCAGTGAGTGACATTTGGGATGCTGACAAAAAATACAGTTATTGCTGTTTTTAAAAAATTATCTCTTAAATCAGTTTAAAATTCAGAAGAGCTGAAGTAAGAAGAATTTTCTCTTTATTTTCCTAATGTTCAATTGTATGAATGTGTTCATGTAAAGAAATCTGAGAAAAATAGTCATAGGAAAGAAAGAAATGTTGAAGACTGTGATATACAATTGAAGGGGGAAATGTACTAATACACAGAATTTTTAGTAATTTTTTTTCTATTGATTTTCTGTGTTTCACATCCTTTACCTCTTCTTGGGAGAGGTAGTTCAATGTTCTAATGGGATTAGGATTTCTTCTTTGGTTATCTGACACAGATATGGTTGAAATCCAAGTTCTACAATGTAAATTACCTAAAAGGAACCTTATCATCAGAGCTTGATTTTTCTCATGTTGTCTAATCATAATAATAATAGACTTATTGGATCAATGTGAAAATTAAATAAAAAGTAATCAGTTTACAGATGTAGATCACTTTTCTGGCATATGTGAGACATTGAACCTGTTACTGTGAGAAAGTAAGTAAAGATGTAACCAACTCTTAAAAAATATTCAAACGCCAGTCTCCCTTCGCTTCCTGTTTCTTCCCACCATAGAAGAGAAGCTATAGAAGTAGTGTGATTGTAATCTATAAACATTTGTCTATTACACCAACACAAAACTAAGCGCTCTTTGAATGATACAGTGAGTGGAATTAGGATTGCCAGCTAGATGTTTTATCTCTGTCTTTTGTAGAAATATTATTCACACTCTACTTTCAGCATCTCTTTTTCAGACAATCTGATTCTGTTTTGTTTCTGGTGTTCCTCAGCTTGTCATCTTCAGTGTGTTCTGGTGTGGATGTATTTTATTCTGTTTGGAAATTATACATGGTTACTAAAACAGGATAAATATTTTTGTCAATTATGGTTTTCAGTCATTGTCTTTTCACATATATTGTCATTCACTTTATCTCTTATCAGAATCTGTTGAGATGGTTTTAGTTCTACTAATTCTGCCCCCATAAGTCTTTCCTACCTTCCACCTCTTAACTCTGTGTGCTGCATTCTGATTAGTGTATTTAAAACCATCTTTATAATCGCTATCAATTCTCTTGGGAGCTAATTTAATTATTTTCACTATCTTAAGTTTCTAATTTGTTGTTAAATTTTGATTTCTAGAAAGTAGTTGTTACTATTGAAATACTGTGAGCTGTCCTTTTACAAAACAATGTCTAGGAAGATTACTTTCAGTAGGTGGTCAGGAGAGCCTCCCTTAAGATGGGAGCTTGCACAAAGAGTTGAGAAGTAGTCCTCCCTGTACCACTCAGGGCAGGATATTCTCTGCAGAAGAAATAATCAAATACAAAGACAATAAAAGCTAAAGGCAGGAGGAAAATAGCAGGTATGTATAAGGAAATTTATGAGGATTATTATGTCACTAAGCAGTGAAATTGTTCAAAGCCTTTTCCATAAAATCTTAGGTTATAAAGTGTCAGTTGATTTAACTTTTGCAATAAACAACCTGATCCTCTCTTTTTTTATTTTCTAACGAATATCATGAACAAAAAGTCATGCTTTTTCTTTTTAATTTTTATTAGTGAAACACCATGAGGTACAGTTGTAGACTTACAGATTGTTGTGCTTGGGTTTCAGTTATACAATGATCGAGTAAAGTCCTGCTTTTTTTAAGCCAGAAATTCCATATTGTTACCATGCAAACAAACCATCAGTTTAAGTTGTTGTATGAATTTTAAAATGAAAGAAGGCAAGAAAGGAAAAATGAGAAACACAATAGCCATCAAGTTTCCCCCAAATATTTGATAGTTTGATATAAATATGGGTATTTCATCACATATGGTTTCTAAGTAACAGTTCATTAAGTTATATTTTACTTGTAAGTTTTCATAGTTTTCCACTAAAGAGGTGATGGGACCAGAGAGTTCAAGGAAGGGTTTGGTGCTTGCCATGCATGTGGCTGACATCAGTTCAATTCAACACCAGCTTGATGCCTGACAATGAATATATGGTCCCCTGAGTACCACCAAGAATGATCTTTGAGCACAGAGCCAGGAAAAGCCCTGGCAATGCCAATTGGCTAGGAATAATAGCAAGGAATTTGGAAATAGCCCAGAGACTTAACGAAGTTATTATATGACTTCGCATCTGAAAATAAGGGGCAAGGGGTATGAAAAAGATCTCTTTATAAATAGCATTTCAAGGTTTTTGTTAAGTGATACAAATAAGACACAGACCATTGCTTATTATATATTTTTTGTGCAAGCTGAGTAGGATAGATAACCACTAACAAGCAGTGGATGATGGGATGAGAAGTGCTTTGAAACAGAGTTTTTGTATATTTGGTGTAAATGTTTTATATATTCAAAGAATGAGAAAGTTCTTTAAAATAAAGCATCCCAAAATATTTAAAAAGAATATAACAAGTGAGCCTACAAGCATTAAGTTAGTAGCTTATTGACACTGAGAAGAGAATTAAGTCACATGATTTTATTCCAGTATTTTTAACCATAAATTCTTAGTGGAATGTATTCTAAGATACTCTAAACTTTTTTTTTTAGTGATATTGCTATTGTTAATTTGTTAGTATGTTTTTAATTTGATTAGTTGAGTCTAATTATATAATCATTTGCAGTATTAGGAAATCAAATTCTCTGGGTGAAATAAAAAAACACGAAAAATCAAAGACATTACTACTGCATTTCGATTGGAAATACAAGTGCAAGCACAGAACTTCATCTTTTCCTTTAAAAGGAAACCGGCTTGCTTAGATTCTCAGTCTGGATCAAAACTGTACAAGATGACCTAAACTTGGCTAGGAAGCCAATGATGCTCCAGACACTAATTTGTCAACAGATACGCGACTGATGTTCAAGAGGTTTTTATTGGCTAAATATGGGAATACTGTAGCATCGAAAGGAAGAACAAGTGCTACTGAAAAATATTGAGTATTTTAAAATCCATTAGATAATTAGAAAATGTGTTCCTCAAAGTCAGTGATCTACAGTGGAAGACTTACATGCTTAAAATACTATTTTCTGCAGTTTCTAATAGGATGATTGTGACAGAGGGTTGTTTGGGGCACTTGATAATGGTGTGAAGTCAGGGATTATCAGAGTATATGGATCATCTGAACACCATTGAAAATAAAATGGATGTTGTGGGTTGCATCACTTGTGAAGTATTCTTAACAAAATTGAATATAAATTTAAGCCTAAATTCTTTAGGCTTGTATTTATGGTTCTTTAGGTTAGGCATGATTCAGAAAGCCCTAGAGCCCCTGAAATTCTTGCAGGGAATCGCAGCACTGCATTGAGGACCTGAACACTAACCCTTCAGGTCTGCACCTCTGGGGCTGGTTATGGCCAAGACTAGTCCCTGGCTCTGAGCACTGCTCAGGAGGTCCCCTCCACTGTCCCAAAAGTCTGATCAGAGGTATAAGATAGAAAGAGGATTCAGTTACTTAATAATACTAGTAATAGGGGCTGGAGCGATAGCACAGCGGTAGGGCATTTGCCAGGCTCGATTCCTCCATTCCTCTCAGAGAGCCCGGCAAGCTACTGAGAGTATCCCGCCCTCACGGCAGAGCCTGACAAGGTCCCCGTGACGTATTCAGTATGCCAAAAACAGTCACAACAAGTCTCACAATGGAGACATTACTGGGCCCGCTTGAGCAAATCCATGAACAACAGGAGACAGTGCTACAGTGCTCCTAGTAATATATAGCCAATAAGTTTTAATAAAGGTAAGGTAAAGGTAAAGGCCCTCCCGTTGATCGTCGATTTGCTCGAGCGGGCCCAGTAACGTCTCCATTGGAGACTTTGTTGTTACTGTGTCTGGCATATCGAATACTCTCGGTAGCTTGCCGGGCTCTCCGAGAGGGGCGGAGGAATCGAACTCGGGTCGGCCATGTTGGCCGCTTGTAAGGCGAACGCCCTACCCGCTGTGCTATCGCTCCAGCCCAGTGGTGATTATCTTTCTGTTTTGTGTTGGAACCACACCTGACAGTGCTCAGAGGTTACTCCTGGCTCTTCACTCGGGACTCATTCCTTGCAGGGCTCACAGGACCATACGAAAGGC